AAATGCAGCTGAAAGTGCTTTACAATAAAATCAAAGACATGAAATAGAGATGAGGGAACGACAGTGTAATGTGATCTCTTTTCCTATTTCTCTTTAAAACCCTGGCTGCTGAATTTTGTACAAGCTGTAGTTGATCAATGGATTGTTTGAGTAATCCTGAATATAGTGCATTACAGTAGTCAAGACGAGAAAGTATAAAAGCATGAGTAAACTGTTTGGCATCTTCCAGAGTGAGGTACTCAAGGTTTCTTAAACAATAAAAGGAAATCTCTGTGACATTGTTTATGTGTGAATTCAAATCTAGTTCAGAGACAAGCGTAACAACCAGGTTATTACTTCTGAGTTGATATGATACGCCAGACTTCCAAGTTTGCTAATAATGTTTGGTCTCAAATCATCAGTGCCATTTACAAGAATTTCTGTTTTATCTTTGTTTAATTTGAGAAAAATGCTAGCACTATGGCTAGATATGATTGAGTATCATCAGCATAACAATGATAGTTGACTCCATGGTCACTAATAATTTGTCCAGTGGTATCATACATAAGAAAAATAGTAATGGACCAAGAATGGAACCCTGTGGAATGCCGAAAAGGTTACCATGCTTTTGTAAAACATGGTCACTGAGGCTAATAAATATGTCCTGCCAATAAGGTATGTTTTACACCAGTTAAGAGCTTTGCCTGTGATACAAATCCAGCTTTTGAGTCTGTGTAAAATAATCTTGTGATGTACTGTGTCAAATGCCGCAGATAAGTCAAGGGGCACCCGGATAAATGCATTTTCCTTATCTGCGCTCACTCGAAGGTCATTTATTCTCAGCGGTGCTGTTTCGGTGCTGTGTCCCTTTCTAAAACCAGACTGAAATCGGTCGTGTATATGCTTCATATGTAGGAAATCAACCAGCTGTATGACTCAGATATTAATTAAAAAATACTTTAATGTTCATTTTATATTTCCATTGCAGGGATGTGGAAACATTTATTTCCATTTTGCTTCTCTCTGCATTGATACAGAATATGTATCCTACACAGTGCAACAGGGCGTTGGTTTAAAAGCTTACACTAAGTTGCTTAATGCTTTTCATCACCTCTTGAAACCAAATAATAGCATACATAATGCATGCTACTCCAGTATAGAGTCCCTCTTGTATCAAATATTAAACAAAGAAAAGCAGACGTGCAGTATTAAATGCTCCGCCTCTGTTATCAATATTCATTAGACTGCTGAGATTGTTGTTTCTCTTTCTCTCCACTGCCCGATTGAAGTAAGCACTTGCGATAGGGCTCCAACCATGCGCCGACCACGGGTGGCTCTGCATGTTACCATGGAGACGGCCTCATTTTCAGCGTGCTGTTGATGCAATAAGAAAGACCCAAACCAAAGATGGAAGGAAAGGAAATAATGAATGATGCCGTTTGGTGAATGGAGAGGTGGGTTGAATGACACAGGAGTACACAGATGGCAGGTAGATGACTATCTATGCAAAGTGTGTGGAGTAGAGTAGCTTCAGGACACCAACAGTCCTCTGCATTAATCATGAATGTGTGATAGTGTTTCAGGAGCAGAGGAGACGGAGTTTCAATCGGAAAAAGAGACACAGCTAATTAATCCTCTGGGTTAAAAACAGATAAGAAAGTGACAGGCAGCAAACAAGCTGATCAGTGTGGTGTTATCAAAAGATCTGACCCGTCACTTCAATTGACCTGTGATGAGAACTGGACAGGGATGAATACACTGTATGTATTCAAAACAGTGACCATCTCATACCTTTGCAAATGTGTGTTTATGCAAAAAAAGATCACTGAAGCGAGTCTGTGTATGCGTGTCTGTGTCTCTCACCATGGCACTGATGGTCTCCTCCCAGTCAGGTCTCTCTCTGGGATGGATGTGGGCCAGTTCAGGCACAATATCGTCCTCCTCCGGGTGACGTCCAGGCCTCAGACCCCTGTAGCACAAACACACAAATACACAAACTTAGAATTAAACTTGTAATCATTTCACTCAGCTGATATTTAACTTTAAGGCTTCAAGCCTGCAGCTAACAATTAGTTTCATCTTTGATAAGTGAAAAAAAGGGGAGAAAGGAAAATGATGTTGGGAAATTGCTTGTTTTGTCTGACCACCAATACAAAACTAAAAGACTTTAATACAAACTTCTTTATTAACTATGATATATGACTATAGAAACTAACAAATTCCCAATTGAGAAGCTGGACTATGTGTGGCATTTTTACACAAAAAGACTCAAACAATTTACCAATTTTCAAAATGTTCGATTGACACGTCAATTTTTGGTTCAGAATTTGTGTCAGATTTATTGTTTGATTATTGCCTCACTGGAGACGAAACATTAAGGGGAAACTAAATATTTGAAAGTTGGGTCGATACTGGTTCGGTATAGGAGCTTAAACTGTGAATTCAGTGTAGTCACCGTCTGATATTAAGCCAGTTTGAACATTTTCACACAGGCCCAACACGTAGCTGCAGGGCCCAGCTCAGGACATTTTAAAATGAGTTCAGCATCCAAAGAACAACAAAGGAAATGTCACAGAGCCCAGGCATTGGATAATATGATGAAGATAAATTTAGGGCTGGCACTGCCGTCACAGAAAGACTTAAAGTTGATGAGATGTCTGCCTATATACAGTCAGCTCATCTACTTCAAAGACTGCCCTTGTTTCCATAGAGGCTGAGAGGAGAAGAGAGTGGGGATGGAAATGAAACAGATTTACACAGCAGCATTTCATATTTCAAGTGACGAGTGATGCACGTACACTGTGCATCCTGAATTCAGCAGTGAGTCTAATAAACTAGAGCAGACACACCAGAGCTTTGTTTTTGTAGGAGATGAAACAGTCTGGAGCAGCTACGATGGCACCCAGCAAACTCGGAAACCACGTCTCGGCACTGAGTTAATTGGACCTCAGTGCAGAGGACTCTGAGTAAAGAAGAAGGGAAGTGAAGTCACTTCTCTGTACTCCCTGCTCTCCAACCATCTCACACAACCTCTCATGCAACCTACTTCATCGTTCAGTCAAATGATGCCACTTTAACTCAGCCTAACAATTTCTATCGGCCTTTATACCTCAAGATACAAGGACTTCGAGGGATAGTTAACCGGAAAATTAAAATTCACTCATTACCTACTCACTATGCCAGTGGAGTTGTGGGTGAAGTGATTGAGTCCACAAAACACTTTGGAGTTTCGGGGGTAAACAGCATTACAGCCAATTCCAATTCATTTGAAGTAACGGGTGACTCTTTCAGACAGAATAAAAAACACCTCCATACTGCTTGTGTGGTGTCATCCAAGTGTTCATAAGCTCCGACATTCAAATTCGACTTGCAACGCCGTCATTTACACCATGTTTGAAACATAAAAGTCCACATCCGGAAGTAGCGATGCTAAAGCGTGCCCTTGGGCGAGAGCTTGTGTGAACCACCTAAATTATGTATTTCATTTTATCTATTCATTATTTCAGAAGGGGACAATGTATATTGATCAACATTTATATAAATTGTCAATGCACCAGAGTAAGCTGACTCGTACAATTGGAACAATAGAGAAAGAGAACTTTGAAATAAAGCTAATTTAATACATAACAGTGGCAGATTGAAACTTGCCACTTCTGTTGAAATTCTGTAATAATGTGCTCTATGTGTGGATCGAAACCTGGCTATTGTAACACTGGGCTGAGTTAAGTGTGTGTGTGAGTGGACAGAGCAGAGATGATGACAAATTAAGAGAGTGAGTGTTCATGCGCACAGATTTAGAGGGAAAATGTGCAGAACGGATTGAGAGAGGTTATTAGTGCATGCATTCAGGATGACAGAAAATATGTTTTTAACTGTTCAAATTAAATATCTTCATGACAGTTTCTATTTAAATATAATTAATGATTCAAATTGTATTATTTTAATATCAATTATTTGAGGATAGCTGCTTATGCAAAAACATAAGAAAGCAGTAATCTTCAAAACAGTAGATTCTCAGTCATGCAGTGATGAGAAATAACTGACTGACACTCCTTCACCGCTGCCACCCTAATGACATGCTTTAAGCACCACTCTACAGGGAAGGTCCAACAACTACTGTCAGTGTGAACCACTTTCAGACACACTGGGTAAAGGCCAGGCTGCAGCAGTGCATTTCACTTGCCAAGTATCACTTTCTCTGTTCACAAGTGCAGTGCACTCCAGCATTCCCAGCATTCCTTGGTGAGAAGGCACAACGGGAGAAAGGAGCTGCTTCTCCCAGCACCTGCTCCAAACACCCAGCAGCAACAAGAGCGTGCTTTAACCTGGCGTTAAACAGCAATCCTGTCTGCTTCCAGCCCATCTGTCCTTCAAAACCAGACAAGAGCAGCGAGAGAGAGGAGGAATGTTTCTCTCTCCAGCTCTGTAAGAAACGAGAGAGGACCTATTTAATGTGGGGGGAACGTCTCAATCTTGACTGTTTTCCAAACATTTCCAACAACCTCTCAATTTTCGTGCATTTTAGCAACAGCAGCTCCATTTTTGCTCTGAAAGATATAAATGCCTCACTGCATTTATCCTCAGCCACCACTTTCTCCTGTCTCTGCTATTAGGCTTCCTCCTCGCTGAATGTCTGACTCAACATGTGCCCAACCCCAAACAGAAATCCTGTGGGTGATATGCTCCATATATTTCAATATTTCAACACAGTTGTCACAGCCAGTTTAGCACAGGTCTTTCTTCCTCACATCAACTAACAGCTTTGAGGGAGGATGAGATAAACCACTGTCACAGTCACCAGCGGCAACTCACGACTGCACCACAGCACTCATACAGCTGCTTGTCTGTTTAAAACAAGGCAGGATATATTATATTAAAACCAAACTTAAATGTTTAAACAAAAGTAATGGGCAAGCGTCGATTCTTGGGTTTATCACTGAGATGAGGTGCACGTATATTAGGTATTTAATATTAACAGAGTAAGCTAACATTGAAGTATATTAATAATGATTTGCAGATTTTCTGTAATAGATCAACTTCTCTAATCTATAAAATATATTTTTAATAAGCAGAGAGCTTTACGAACACACAAGAAGACAAAGGAATAAAGTAAATGCTCATACCTGATGCTAAACCAAGGTAATATTTAGCATTTCAATCATTCGAACAACCAATTTTCTGCAGCCTCCACCACAAGATACAGACTGTAGGTCCTCACTGATACATTTTAGCTTCAAAAAGCGACACCGTGGTTATGTTTATGCCTGGAGTTCATACTACTCTGTCGTTTGTAAGCCCCTACAACACCTTGACATTTGGAAACACTGCTGACTGAAGTTTTATTTCTCAAACTAAAACATCTGCATAGACAGAAACTGAGACTCTTGAATAACAAAGACACACACTGTAGAATGGGCAAAGAGGAATTCTGATATGTCACAGAGATAATTTGGTTTGAAAAAAAAACTAAAATGTATTTCTGTGGATGCAGTTCAATCAGCACCTTTCTTGAAGAACAAGTTTCGACAAAAATTAACATAAGGGAGAATTTATAACAGGTCTGTTGTCAGAGTGCATTCGGTTTAACTTGTTGGTCCTTGTTGGTACATAAATAAATGGATATAAAGCTAATATAAACCTAACTTCATCATATTGACCATCTCTATTAACTTTTTGGACTGGTTGGTAACCAAGCTTACTAAGTCCTTTCTAGCCCTTGGCAGGTTGATAGTGTATTCATATGTTATGTGTTTGTGTTTCTGTTGACAGATCAGTAATCAACGACAACAGCAGACAGAGAATGAGCCCAGAATGGCAACTGAGACTAAAAAGGATTTTCTTCCCCATTTATCATCATCATATGTGAGAAACAGAAATGCCACCTTGCGAGCTTCAATCTGAAACTCAGACAGTCAGTTTAAACCCTAATAAACAGCACGGATCCATTCAAGAGACCAGACATGAATAAAAGCACCAGACGAAGGCAACAAGATCTGCCAGCTTGGGTGGCTGTGATGAATGTTTATAAGAGCAACTCTTGAGAAGAGCATTGCATGTTGTCTGCGCTGGACTGAACACACATGGATATGTGCCACCTTTAGAACTGCCAATAATACCCATTAGAGAATAATATGGCACCGGTCTGATGAAAGAGCTATCCGGTTAATGATGACTAAAGCTGAGGAAGAGGAGCACCTCTTGTTCTTCTCCAGGAGAATAAATTAGTTCCGTTAAAAGTGTTATTTGTAGTAAATAATTTATTCACAAGGAGTAAACTAGTGAAGCAGTCCTTATGAATTGGCTGTCTGAATAATGAAAGTGTTCACTTTTGAAGTGGAATTCAACATATGAACACTATCTCCTCTACTGGTAATGGGAGTCAATAGCCCTTTTTTGCAGGTTTACCTGCATATATCTGCTGGGTGTAACAGAGGTGTAACTAGACTTTTAATCAGGTATGAGATGCACCTTAAAAGAGTAGTAAACATATTCAGAAACCAATAACAATCTGCTGTGCATCATTACTAAAGAAGCTCCAAAATCCCTGCTCGATACAGTGTTAGTTCCTACTTGCAGACTCTGGCTGAGGTACTGACAGAATTTCTGAGGTTAAGACTCAAGCTTGGTTTTCATGGTCACTAAAGACATTCAATCAATGTCAGGGAAAGGTTGTGCTGTCCTGCAGAAAACAACAGCGGGGAAGCATGAGTTTAAGGTTTCTGCCTTCTAAGGCCTTTTTTAGGAAAACAAATGCAGTGCTTTTTAAGACCTTTCACGCCCTGCAGATACCTTGAAGCATAGAGCAGAGACTCCTCTGGACTCCTGCTGTCTGAACCCTCGAAGTCTTCCTTTGCTGGGATATGAGCAAGACTGAGGAAAGGTGAATGGCAGATATACTTGTTAGCCTGTCAAAACTGACCATGCACAACATGTCAGCATCCCTATAACAACACCTCTGTTAGTGTCTGC